TTTTCCTAGCACTTTTAACGGTCTTATACGTTTGTGTGTAAAAATTGTGGGTGGGTATGGCGTGTGTGTGTGTGCATAGTAAAGGATGTATAAAACTAATTAAGTTTAATAGTGTAGATCTGTGATCTTCAAACAATGTTCCGCTAGTCAAACTCCAGGGTTCCGCGAGTCAAAATAAAAATCCGAAAAGAAAGTTAGAAAATAAAATAAAAATCTGAAAGTTTTCAGATTTTAACGGTCGCCCAAAGAGCTTTGTTTGTTAAGGTTTCTTACGTTCTCACTGAGCTCGCCGTCTACCAGTCTCTTTTGCACTCACTGCTGTTAAGCCCTTGTTTTCTGAAGTTTTAGCTTTATTATTGAGTATCACTTTGCATTTTGTTCACAGTTACGCTATATACAATTCAACAACGAAATTTAAAAATATTTAAAAGCAGCATAGCTGTATATGTTTTGAATTCCTTGAAGCAGCATTAAGCATTAGCATACACGTTTTAGCATTTTAAGTCTTTTCTAAGTTCATCATATCAATGTTTATTTTCCTTCTGAGATGGTTTTGCAGAACTTTTATTTTTTTATTATTTAAGTTTGTGTGTTCATTTTATTTACTAAATATGACGTTCTTGGCCGCATGAAATTCGATTCAACATCAAAATCCCAAAATATTTAAAAACATCATAGCTTTAGAATTTTCGGTATACAGTCCCTCGTGCTGGAGTTAAAAATGTTTTATTTCTTAGCATGCTGCCATTGCTCGTTTTTAAATCGAGTGTTTTTTAAAAACTAGTTAAAAGTTTTATAAAACATGAAATACAAAATTCGAAATTAAAAAATCGGGATGCCGGGTGTCCATATTCGGGTAGAGGACTACATTATTCAAATTTTGATTGCTTTAGGTACCGTCCTTTTATTCACAATGCGAGAAACATACTTGCATTCATGCAGATTCTTCAGTATTTAATTTCTTTAAATATAATATAGCTCGCTAATATTTGTTGGGAATAATTTGAAAAGTGATTCGGATATTTAAAATGATTCGACGCAAAAAGCCCTTTTCAGACCAATAATCCTCTGGGCTAGAGTCCATTTGGGCTAATAAAGCACTCACAGAGGTTGATTAGCGCTTATTGATAAAAAAATATAAAGATAAAATTAGATACAGATACTTTTAAAATTTAATATGCGGTCCTCATATGTCAAAGAGAATGATGTGCAGTATTGAAAAAAAAATCTATTGGAAAATGAATTGAATTTAGAACGACAGCATTAAAAATTGTACAATGGAACATATTTTTCAATTGGAACAAAACTATGAAAGAATATTTCCCAGAAGAAAAAAAAAAAAAAACTAAGTTTCGTTGGATAAAAAATCCCTTCGAGTGCTATTAATACCTTCTCCAGTTTAAGGAGGTGATGACACTATGATAAATCAGAAGGCTTGCCAATGAAGGAAAGGGAAAGCCTATTGTCACATCAACAGATTCGACGTTAAAAATCTAAATTTAAGCAATAGCAGCTCCTAAATGTTTGGTTGTAGATTCATGCACAATACCTAGAAGTTTCTCACACAGCTGTAAGCATTTGAGTGCCATTAGGAGCAACTTATTTAGTTGAAAAATATTTCTTAATATATGTGGTAAAAATATAGAAACAAATTTAATGCAAAGCAGAAAAGGTGACTCTGGATAACATCAATAGAGACAGAATTGGACAGTTTGCTTATAAAAAAAAGGAAGCACACTTCTGTCAATAATTTAATGCTAAGTGTAGGTGACACCCGAACCACGAAGGTAATGCTATAATTGAGTAAATTAATTTTATTATTATGTTTTAATTAAAAATTCAATATTTTTTTTTCATTGTCTTCACATATAGAGTATCTATAATACATTGATCTACTTTAAATGTTATTTTAAGATATATTTTTCTAACGTCGGAATGGGAATCCTCGAAAAACCCTCTATAGTTCTAAGAGTTCCGTGATTCGACAAAGCTTTAAGACCACTGACTGCTATAAATGAATGAAAGCCCTTGAAATATGCAGTCATGCTGTCGATCCAAACGGGACTTTTCCCTTTCCATTTTTCGTAGTAATGTGATTCCCGAAACGTATGCGGAGAATTTTTCGTTGATCACGGTGTTTAGTAAAGTGCTTTCCTTTTTCTTCTTTTATTTTAGCTTTTTTGTTTATTTGTTTTGTTGTTGTTGCAGAAACATATGCAGAAGAGGAAAAAATATAGAAAAAATAGAGGAAAATTTTCTCGCCTTTTGTAATTGAAAATTGTCTGAATTCTTCACGAAATTTACACACATAAAACCTAGATGCAGAATATGGGATATTTTACATTTTTCTCTGCGAAGCTGAATTTCCTGAAAAAATGTTGAATAAGGATTGTACTCCACGCCAAATATCCGTATAACATTTCCTTGCACTTAATTTAAATTCTTTTCCTTTCTTATATCCATTGTGAAACAAAATTTTAAAAGCATATTTAGTCCTCTTTACTTCTTTGCACGAGTATTATAATTGCAAAAAAATTCTGGTATCACATTTCAATGAAAATATACATTTTTACCGCACTCGAATCCATTTAAACGACACTTTTGTGTGACATCTGTACGTACGGACAGAAGAAAGAATTGTTTTCCCAAAACGGATTGAAAATTGGGTTTAAAATGGGTTCAGAAGATATTTTTTCGTGACATCAGTACGTACGTACTCATGTATGTACCTCACATAACTCAAAAACCAGTAGCCTCAGAACATTGAAATTTTGTATATGGAACAGCTATATAGTATAGTTGTGCACCACCGTTTCGGTTGTAACTGGCAGCAGAAAAAGTATATATATGTAAGATAAAAAATATGAAAGCAAACTTCTAAATTTAATTCACCATAACCTCTTTTATTTTTTATTTCATTTGGGAACTTCATCTATCTGTCCTAAAAATAGCGCTTAAGTCTAAACTGCGTCATTCAAATTAATCATACGATCTTACGTAACCGTTAATGCAGATGCTTCTTGACCAATCAATTACCAAAATTCAATCACCAAAAATCATTTTCATTCAATCACCAAAATGTAAACCATAACTTTTTTACTTTTACACTGCTAAGGAGGACTACTGACCGGGAACAAGCCCTTGCAGTATGATGTCCGCCCTGCAGACATTTATTAAGTCTAAATTAAAAAAAAAAAAAAAAAAAGTACAGAGTCACATCTAGATAGGGAATACAAAGGACTACCTTGAATACATATGACATTTCTGATAGTATAGGTTACAAAAAAAAAATAAATAAAAAAAATACTTAGAAGTACAAAGCTGCATTGATACAAAACTGGTAAAGGTAAAACAAAAACAGTAAAATTTAAGACTAACATTGGAATTTCAAGCCTGCAGTTATACATCACACTGACTTACTATTATACACTTACTATAATTACGCACATTACAACATATTATGCAATATATTACTATAATACTGAAAAACACACTAACATAGTAAAACTGATACTACAAATAAAACACACTATATACACTGCTCGTATCAGAAAAGTACACACTGACATAGTAAAGCTGATACTACAAATAAAAACACAACATATATACACTGCTCGTATCAGAAAAGTAGACAATTCTGTACATGATGCTGTACTGTAACGCTAAAACTAAAGAACACTAGGCAATAACCTTTGGAAACAGTCACAGTGAAATTAGGAATATAATATATTGTAGCAGAGTTAGAATACGAGTCATTTCAAAACATTAAATCCAGCAAAATATTTCAATGCATATTTACAAAGTTCTACAACCAAGAAAGTCTGGTTCAATACTACTATTATACATCACACTTACTTATCATTATACGACCCTAAACTATTATACTCCACATTAATAGAAAAAATTATACTAGATACTTAATGGAATACTGTACATACACTGAAATAAAATGGCGAATACTACAAAATAACAATCAATATACAATGTGCTTATCAGAAAGTTGGTTCTGCGGCCACGAATATTTGTTATAAACTGTTGCATTTTGCACAATACTAGAAACTGTTACAAAACATTTGCACACAATATTTCATGGTACTAGCCGAGAGCTCTATATATGTATTTACTATTATACCGCAAACTTAATTTGAAAAACATAACACAACGCACTTACTACTTAACAGGTCAATACACTAAGACAATATGTAAATTGAAATACACAGATACAATACAAAAATTAAGTAAACACATAAAATTTAAAGATTAATAATGGATAGAAGCGACACTGAAGTGCAAATAGACAGACATTGATTGTGGTTAATCTGCATCTAGGAGGTAACATGTTCCAGCAAAGTAGTTATTCATGTACTGCACTAAACATGGCTGGTCATGCATATACGTAACATAGGTACAATGGCATGCCATTAGAGTGTCTGAAATTGTCCTAATTTCAGTAGTTGAATATTATCGTATATAATAAGATACCAAATTTGTAAAGGTAAGAATTATGAAAGCTACTGATGTTCTGTAGTTGTGGGTTTAGAATTGCCTGCTGTAGCCTGCTGTTGACACCGCTTCTGTTCAACAGAATTCACGAGCACCCAAATGTCCATTACTCGATGAATCTGATTAAATGCGAGCTTACTTCTCTTGAGAGTGTCTGACCACCCGGACCAGTGTGCTTCAGAGGGTTTTTTTAAATGAAATGGTATCGTGAGAGAGCATTCGAAAGCAAAGTGATCCGGATCACCTAGTGTTCCACATCTACAACCGTCTGAAGTAGCTAATCTGAAGCGCCGTAAATAGCTTGGAAATGGTCCGTGTCCAGTAAAGGAATGTTTAAGATGAGCACTACTAGTGACCAGATTCAGACCAACTTTGGAGAAGAAACGAAAGGTTCTGCGGCCTGTGGTGGAGTTGTTCCATCTCTGTTGCCAAATTTCTAACATTTTAAGTTCGGTAATCTTTTTTAAATAGGAAACTGGTGCTTTTAGGGGTGTTACAGGCATATTCAAGTCGTTAGCTGCTAGCTTAGCAAACCTATCGGCCTCTTCGTTTCCAGCAATGCCTACATGCGCTGGAACCCAGCTCAAGTACGGTCGTTGGGACTCGGGAATCTGAAGTAGAGCATCCCTAATAATGTGGACAGAATCCGCTTTGCTGTTGAGTTCTTTAATGGCCAGTAGGCTCGATGTTGAATCACTCAGTATTCTGACTGGTCCTGTTAGATTTTGCTTAATATAATCTAATGCTGCCTTTATTGCTACAAGTTCCGCCTGAAATACACTATTGTAATCTGACAGCCTCTGTGACCAAGTGTAGCAGATAGTATTGCCTCGCATGACGCAGAAGCCGCTACCTGTGCCAAGCTCCGTTTTGGAACCATCCGTATAAAGACAAATTTCGTGCCTAGCCGGAATTAAGGACTCTATGGTGACTATGGTGACTTTGTCATCATAATTTATGTCCGCCGGATGTCCTAGAGAACGAGGGGAATGATCCTCGTAATCACAAGCGCGGTAATTGGTACCCCACAAGATAAAATCTTCCTTTATGCGTAGGATCCGTGCTTGTGCAGCCTCCCTGTCCACGACAAGATCCAATGGTAGTAACCCAGCGAGCACCTGCAATGAATCTGTCGAAGTGGTCCTATAAGCTTTAGTAATCATGAGGAGTTGGAGACGCTGAATAGAACTGAGTTTCATTCTCAGGTTTCCATTGAGATGAATACCCCATGCTGAAGACCCGTACAAAATCACCATCGCTGTTATTGTGCGATACCAGATCTTCAACATGTCTGGTCTAATGCCCCAATACATGCCAGTAGTTCGTCTCATGTTATTGGTAAGAGATACTACTTTCTGGTGTATATGATGCAAATGCCGAATCCAGTTGAGGCGGTTGTCTATGATGACACCTAGATATTTCAACTGGGAAACAGTCCTAACTGGATGACTGTAAACCATAACTAAAAACTGACTCTGAAAATGTAACTAACTAAAAACCCTTTTTTCTATGAAACTGATGCGTCACTTTTGCTTGTGCTTTCCTCTTCGCCGGACACCTTTCTGCAATCATGTGTGTGTTGCTACTTTCGCTTCTGTGGCAATAATATCAAAATTGTAAATGTTCTTTAATAGGCACGAGTAGAGTGCCAAATGAATTGTGCCCACAAAATGGGAATTTAAATAAATAAAAGGAATTTAATTGGCTCGACTGCTTCTTCTTCAAAATGGACGGACGTTCTAAGCCACAAGTACCTACTTAATTAGTATTTCTACGCATTTACATCTCAGTGTTCGTATTTCAGTGCCTCCAAAAGTGTTCTGTCATTACATTCTTCGGCCAGTTCTAATTATGAAGAAATCAACATGGGTTTGTTAAGCTGTGTTTACAGTGAGTCATGGGAAAAGTCCTGTTCCACCGAAAATTTTTAATGCAAGTTTGTACCGCATTTACGATCAAATCATTCAAGTCGTGTCATCCAACCACAGTTTCATTACACATATATATATATATATATATATATACATATATATACATTCTGTTGGCCGCTTCGGTGAACTCATTCTTATACGTTCGTAAATTGTGCATGTTTTACTTTAAAGGTTATTGAAATGTATCGTTGTTATGTTTCCGTTAAGGTTTTTTTGCCTTTATATAATCTGTATGGAATAGTTGTAGATTTATCAACAATTTAAAAGTTATTGTCACTAAGCCTAATGAAAAGGCTATTTGTTTACATTTAAAAACTCTTAGTAGTATAGTGAATTAAATTAGTTTCTGCACTAACAGTACTTTTTTGTCGAGTGAGACCAAAAGAAAACTTTCAGTTTTGCGCACCGAAAAATTTGCCTTCCTGTCCGCTGGCCGATTGCTTGTTTTTGCGTAGAAACTCTAATTTTAATTGTATTTGAATGAAAAACACATTTATTATAAAACTGAAGGAAATAAAGTTAAATGAAATGCATCAAAAATGGGCATAACTTAGTAGACCGTCCAAGGAACTCGTGGGGTGTCCACATCAGATTTAATTAAGTTAACATATAAGTTAACACTCTGCACAAAAAGTAAAAAAAAAAAAAAAAAAAAAAAAAAAAAAAAAAAAAAAAAAGGGGAGAAAGGGGAAAAGGAAAAGGGGGCAGTTCTACATTTTTCATTCTATTATGCGAATTGACGAAATTTAACTTGCCTTTTTCACGTTTCGAAAGCACGATTTAGGATATACGTTAGACTTATACATATCAGACTGCACTGACATAGGAATTTTGATACGAAATCAGACTTGTTCTGAAATGGTATACGAATTTCTTTCATATATTTCGATTCTAAGGCTGAAATTATGCCACAGTGCAAAGTTTGTAAAAATAGCACATATAGTTTTTAAAAAATCAGCTCTCAAAATTTTAGCTCCTCAGTGTTAATTAAATTTGGTATATATTTATTAATATCTCTTTTTGTATTAAACTTATTTGATTCCTTCTTTCAAAATTAGAAATTTAGATTAAATCCAAAAACAATTCGCAGACATTTACTGATTTATTTTTCAAATTTACATTTTTTAATAATTTTCATAAATTTTTCGTGAAACCTTTATCGTTATAACTCATAAATTTTATACTATTTCCTTAAAAAGTAATGCATTTCTAGGTATGCCTAAAACAAATTAAGATTTTGATTCAAAATTTCCCAAGATATGCTTGAACTTATATATTGGCGCATTTTGAAATTTTGCATATTTGTTATAAGCGATAGATGATAACACCAAATTGCTTTTTAAGTGCTTCGCTAAAACAATATTTGAAAGTAAGAGAGATGTAGCTCTTTTTCAGCTCGTACACAGTGAAAGGGAAATGAAAATAGGTACACATAAATTAAAAATTTTCCCAAATGAGTTATTTTTGGTGCAAATTGAAAAACGTGCACTAATATAAATATTAAAATTTCTCACCAAATTTTAGAAGTTTTTATATTTAAGCACATTGTGAGTCGTAGAATCGAAATACAAAAAAATAGGTATACCATTTCAGAAAAATTCCGATTTTATGTCAAAATACCTATGACAGAACATTGTTATATATCAATCTAATATATATTTAAGTCGCACTTTCGGGACATGAAAAGTACAAATTAAATTCTGTCAACTGGACCAGTAGAATAGGAGATAGAGAGCAGAATGTACCCATTTTTTTTGTGCAGGATATACATCTTTTCGGTCTTAATTTATACTTTTAATATCATAACTTATTAGATTCTGTGACACTGAATCGCTAACCAAACAACTTAGTCTTATATTTGCTACATAATAACTATTTATGATTTTAAGCGAAACATCAGCCAAGCAAAGAAAACATACAATGCAGTAAATGGAATTCAGATGGACTATACGAATAACAAATAATGTACAACTTACTGAAATATATTTGCTCGAGGAATTCAAAGCTTCGGAAAAATCACAAAATCTGTATTGATGAATGCTTTCTGCACACCTCTTCAATGCAGATGAGCTGTCACTGAGTCTTTGTCCACATGACGTTAAATATATTCTTTAGGAGCATTATTCCTTTCAGTTGCTGAAGGACTTCTACTTAAGGCTTTATAAATGTATCAATAATTAGTTCAAGGAAAAGTACTAGAAGGGAGATTAATTCTATTATTTAATTCCCCGGTGAATTTTCTGCATATATTCTGAAAAGCATCTGATAGAATATTTTGAATCATACTGTATATTCTTTACTTCTAAACCTCTCGATGAAAGTATTCAGAAAATTTTCATAAGCTGATTAAAATATTCCATTGTTTAAATACCCAAAGCTAACTTTCTGAATAGTTTCTGATATCTGTGAAAGATGCAGTCGTAGATATACACAAAAGCGTTAACTTAATGTTTAAATATAATAGCTGATTTGATAGAATAGGAGGATAATCTACGCATTTAGTTCCTGATACAGAGACAATGCAGCGTATATTATTAGTATCCTATTGAGAATTAGTCAAATACAGTAAAATATATACATGTGCGATAGAAGAAGCAATGTTTTCATGAATTTAGTTACTGCAGGTTACAAATGCAAGCTGCGAATGAGTTTTGCATTTGAAAAGAGACATATGATTATTCGACAAAACTGCTACTGTAGCTAAACATCACGTTTTAATTGCATTGTTTTAAATGGAACAGTAATTTAAAGCAGTAAATCATGCATGAAGTCCATAAATTTATTTGTATAAACTAAACAATTATTTTTTTAAACACATTTTACTGCTTTTTGCAATTTTTAAATACCTTAATCTCCCCCCTTTTTAAAAAAATACAAAAAATAATATGCGAAAAAACTGTATTAACATCAACTGTCATTCACTACAAATTTAAAAATGTATTTGAACTTGAGTGGATGAATAAGAAGTATTTTATTAAAGATTGAAATTTTGAACAAGATATAGGGACAGAGTGAGCTAATAGTAATAATTTAAATAAAGCAAAACATTAGACAAAATATGTTATTGTTAAAATACACTCACTTTCAAAAGTTAAGCACGGAGAGGAAAATGCTAATTTCCGGAAGCCGATCAGAATTGAAGAGGATGCAGTTCGCGCAGAGATAGACGGAAGTATGCAATTATGTTAGGTAACAGCCAATCGCGCTTTCATGTCAAGAAATATGCAAAAAAGGCAGTCTTATAAGAAGCCAGCTTTATGAAAGGTTACAGAAATTGATTGCAAGTGCTGATAGAAGGTGTTTAAAACTTTCGTACAATTTGTTTTCAAGACATACGTGTTTTTATGACTTCCAGAAGACGAATGGAAGATTCTGAGAGCTGGCGTGCTGTGGGGCGCATTGAAGCAGGACAGTCTACACACAGATGTCGATCACAGATGTTGCTCTTTTCTTCGGCGTTCATCATTCTGTAATTTCACGCTTATGGAAACAATTCCAAACTACACATACAGTTGTCCGAAGGCCCGTAGCCGGTCGCCCAAGGGTTACAACTCCCGCGAAAGATCGATATATTGCTATTGTAGCCGAGCGGAATCGCAGAGTGACCTCCACATGTGTAACATCTATGGTTACAGCGTCCATTGGTAAGGCGATATCTGCAGCTACTGTACGCCGAAGATTACATATGAGTAGACTGTACGCCCGGGTACCTCGAGTTTGTGTTCCTCTATTCGTCCAATCAAGAGGGGCACGATTACAGTGGTGCCAGGAACATGTCCATTGGAATGTGTCTGACTGGAGCAATGTCATGTTTACTGATGAGTCAAGATTTGCTCTGGAGCCAGATGACAAGCATATAAGGATATGGCGTGAACAACGAACAGGCAATCAGTTCCAAAACATCCCCGAACATTACGCATTTTGAGGCGGAAAGCATTATGGTGTGGGCAGGGATTTCATTAGGATACCGCACCGACCTGCACATCTTTAAATGGGGTTCTTTGATGGCTGTCCGGTATCGAGATGAAGTCCTGGAACCCATTGTGAGATTGAACGCTGCAGCAGTTGGACCTACTTTTGTTTTAATGGACGATAACGCACGTCCCCATAGAGTTGACATCGTCGATGACTACCTGGTGAGTGAACGGATTGCGCGTATGACGTGGCTAGCATATTCTCCCGACGTTAATCCCATTGAAAATCTTTGGGATGCTCTCGGTCATGCTGTATCTTCACGTTTCGCACCTCCCACTCTTATTGAGCTGGAAACTGTTCTACAAGAAGAATGGCGATTGCTTAACTCTGCGGTGGTTGACCACCTAATTGAAAGCATGGTTACAAGGTGTAAACTTTGTATACAGATGAGGGGGATCACATACCCTATTAATGTCCTTTTTAACATTTTATGCTGTTTATTTTCACTTTATACATAATTTTGTTTATGTCTCCAGTAGGTCATTACCTGATAACTTACAGAAATTTAATATTGTTTTCATTTCTGTATATAATTATTGATTTTGTTTTATACA